ATTACTGCAGGTTCAAATCTCACCAGGCTCAAGGTTGACTCAGCCTTCCATCCTTCCGAGATAGGTAAAATGAGGACCCGGATTGTGGGGGCAATAAGATGACTTTGTATAAAAAAGAACACTGCTTGGGGGGGCGGGGGGGCGAAAGCCCTACTAAGCAAGTATATACAAAAGTATGAAGGCTATTGCTTAATGCATTGTAAGCCCCCCTGAGTCTCCGGAGAAGGGCGGCATATAAATCGAACCAATAATAAATAAAATAAATAAATAAAAGTTATATGTTGGGGCATGACACAGGATATTTTTACTATCCCTCCGTTGATGCAGCCAAGAGTAGCTGGAATGAAAGGAGACATGATAGGAGACACTTTAAAGAATGTCAATAACAAGGAATAGCTTGTTCCTCCTTATCCCTCAGCAAAGGAGGCAAATCCATGATTTAAATTACAGGAAGGCAGATTATGGTGAAATGCTAGGAACATCTTGATGGTGGAACCATCAGGGAATTGAGAAACAGCTGCCCAGATGAAGTCGGAGACACTGACACACAAACTTGTAGTTTTATATAAATAAATATATTTAGCCTTTATTTTTGCAGCAGACAAGATAGTCAGGAACATGGGAACATCATGAGGTAAACCAAACAGCCTACAGAGCTTTTCCCCCTTTAGTCCCATAGCAAACAATCGTAGCATAAATTACCTCATCCATGAGCCAACATCAGGGATGATATTCACTTACCTTTGCTACTGGCTGTTCTGCTCCAGCTACGGACCCCAAAGAACATAACACACACAAAGTCTGTACAAACCATAATTTACTAAATTAAATCAGTCTTTTTCAAACAAAGGCTGTTAATTAACTTTCTTAACAGCCTACAAGAATCCAAAGAATAAATAATCGTAATCTTACTATGGTTGGCAGAAAGCCCAGAAGCAATTTGCAGGAAACTGATAAGAGAACTGTTACAAGGATTCATGGATCAGGCCCAACAACGAGACATGAGTCAGTAGATTAACTAAATCTCTTTATTCACAGATCATCATCTCAACAACACTTGCAACATCTGGATCTGAAGAGCAAGGAGGAGCGTGCCCACCTTTATATGCCAGAAGGCGGAGACTTAGGTAAGGAGGGTTTAGTGGGAGGAGCTGGACAGGTGGGAGTTTGGATTAACCCCTGCACTGCTGCACTATAGCTGACCCCTGGCACAGTTAAGGCATTTACCCTTGACAAATCCCCCTCTAAATGCCTAACATGTGTCTGTATGCCTGACTGATTGATTGGCACTCCGGGGCGGATATTGAGTTTGGACACTAGGTGTGAATGTTGTTTGCCCTGCAGTGGTTTTGTGAGTATGTCTGCAGTCTGTTCTTCTGTGTCACAATGAATGGCCTTTATGAACCCGATTCTGGAGAGCTGTCTTACGTGTTTGTATTTTATGTCGATATGTCTTGATCTTTGCCCTACGGCATCGGCCATGGATATTTCTATGGCGGCCTTGTTGTCTTCATAGATATTTATCGGGTAAGTTGGTTCTCTCCACACGCTGGCGAGCAGGTCGTCGAACCAGATAAGGTTGTTGGCGGCTTTGGAGAGGCATATGTATTCTGCCTCAGTGGTCGAGGTGGCTACCAAGATTTGTTTACCTGTGTACCAATGCACAGGGCTATTGTTCAAGTAGAATATGTATCCTGATGTGCTTTTCCTACTTTTGATATCTCCAGCCCAGTCAGCGTCGGCGTAGCAGGAGAGGACAGGTTCGTCAGATGCTTCTGGTTCTAGGATTAGGCACGCATTGGCGCTTTGTTTCAGGTACCTTAGTACCCTCTTCACTGCGTCCCAGTGGTATGTGGTGGGTCTGCCTACGTGTCTGGACAATAGATTAACTGATAGCGCAATGTCTGGCCTTGTCCAGTTAGCGATATACAGGAGTGAGCCTATGACTGACCTGTACAGCGTGTTGTCTTCAAACTCAGGTGATTCGTCATGCATGTTCTTCAGAAAGTCCGGTTGCATGGGTGAATCACATCCCTTGGCATCTGCCATGTTACATTTGTGGAGTAATTCCTCTATCTTTTCCTTTTGGGACAGTTGAAAGCCCTTGGGGGTTTCACTGACCTGCACGCCCAGGTACCGGTTTATTCTTCCTAAGTATTTTAGGGTGAAGTGTTCGCTTAGTCTGTTGGCGAAGGCCTTGCGATTCTTTTCGTGTTTGCTGATGTAGAGAATGTCATCCACGTATACTAGGATGTATTCTGGCGAGTCCCCCACTCTCCTGGTGAAGAAGCAGTTGTCGGCCACGGTTGCTGTGAATCCCATTGACTTCAAGACCTCAACCAGGCACTCATACCAGCGTTTACCTGACTGTTTAAGTCCGTACAGACTTTTGCGAAGCAGCCAGGTGTCCCCCCTGTTGGTCCTTTTACTGTGTGGCGCCTTGACGTATATCTCCTTATCTAGGTTGGCGTGCAGATAAGCTGTCTGCACATCGAACTGGTGTACCTCTAGTCCTAGTAGGGAGGCGATGACCAGGGCACTTTTGACGCTCTCTGTCCTCACGGTGGGTGAGTAGGTGTCAGTGTAGTCCTCTGGGAACCTTTGAGCAAACCCCTGGGCCACTAGCCTGGCTTTGTATAGGTTTTGGCCACCCTCAAGGTTCTTGACCTTGAAGATCCATCGGGTGCCTATCGCGCTTTTGCCCTCAGGGACCTTGGCTGGGGTGTAGACCTCTAGTTCTCTCAGACTGTCCAGTTCTTTGGCCATGGCGGACTCCCACCTTGTTCTCTCCTCCTCTGAGGTAGCCTTAATACCTCTTCGTATGAGTTTGGTGTGACGTGGTTCGTGTGTATGTGCATCACGTAGTCATTTAACCTCTTTGGCAACTGGTTCCTGGTTGACCTGACCGGTCTGTCTATTGTCTGTTCGGTGTCATGTAAGTACCTGGCCTCCCTTTGTGTCAGCGAGTCTACACTTATCTTGGGATGGTTCCCTTTCCACTCCCCAATTTGGATGCCTTGGAGGTTGGGTTTTGGTCCCTTCTTTTCCTGTCTATTCACCCTTTCGTGTTTGTCTTGTGCTTGCTCGTCTGGCCTACTTTCTAGCTTGTTGGCACCTCGTTCAAATGTATCCTGGACCAGTTGGCTTGCTCATGGAATGCCGCCGTCCTAGATACCACGAACCTGTCGTTACTGTCCACAAACCTGTAGCCTTTGGTTCCCCGGTTCATACCCCATGAACCTCAGTCTTCTGGATACTTTGTCCCCTTTTCTGCGCAGCTGTTTGGGTATGTGGACATCGGCGGTTACGCCGAATACGTGTAAGTGTGCTATTTGTGGCTTTTTGTTGTACATGAGCTCGTATGGCGTTTTGTCTATCACACTGGACCATGTTCTGTTAAGTGTGTAGTTGGAGTAAACCAAGGCCTCAGACCAAGTGTTGGCCAATGCCCCCGTCCTCTAAGGTGCACCTGACCATTGTTTGCAGCGTTGAGTTTCGTCGTTCTGCGACCCCGTTCTGAAAGGCCGAAAATGGGGACGACGTAAAGTGAAGCACGCCCTTGGATCTGAGCCAATGGGAGAAGTCCCTTGATAGGAACTCGGACCCTCTGTCAGTCATGATTTGCTTGATTTGGGCGTTGTTCTGTGTCTCTACCCTTTTGTAGAACTCTTTGAATTTTTGGAAGGCCTCATCCTTTCTCTTTAGGGTATAGACGAAGCCATAATCGACTATAATCGTCCACGATGGTGAGAAAGTATCTTTTTTTGTATTTTATGGATGGCCTTAGGGGCCCTACCAAATCCATGTGGACTAAATTGAATATCTGTTTGGCGGAGCGTGATGACTTCTTAGGCCTGGGTTTGACCTTTAACTTAGAACATTTGCACACCCGAGCACTCGAGGTAGTTTTCACAGCTCTTTATTTTGATGCCCTCGGTACAGTTGGCCATTTTTGGATTACGGGGAAACTTGCGTGCCCTAGCTTCCTGTGTAATAGGTGTGCACAGTCGTCGTGCATGGGCTTGCCTATCGAGGGCCCTCTCTGAGTGTGTCTGCTGTGTCGTGTCTCTAGTGTCGTGTTCTTCTTGTTCTCTACCTCTCCCTCATCTACCTGTCCTCCTTCAATTCTGTTCTGGTTAAGGTCTTCTATGCTTTCCGAGCTGGCGTATATGCTGTGTGTGCTACCCTCAAAGAACGTTACATGGGGTAACCCTTGACTGATGGTCACTCTCCCTATGTCCTTTCCGCCCTTGCTGACTTGAACATTCCCTTCCGTAAAGGTCACCTTAACCCCTGATTCCTTGCTGAGTTTTTACTGCGGCCAATATGTTGTGGGGTATCTCCGGGACCAGCAGTACCCCCTCTATTTCCCCTACTCCTGGCAATATAACTGTCCCCTTGCCTGTTACCTTAACCTCGCTTTGGTCTGCAACCTTGATTGAGAAATCCTCTCTTTGGAACGATGAGAGAAGTTTCTGGTTGTATGTGGTGTGGTTGGAGGCTCCAGAGTCTAGGAGCCATGAATTGGTGTCTCTGCCCTGATGTGTTATGTGAGTGCGTTCTCCTATCCCATATAATGACCCCGTTCTGCTGTCACGTGAGCTGTCTCTATTCCCTCTTCTATCTCTGGGGTTGGGTGAATCTCTGCGCCTGTATCTCTCCTCAGAGGTGCGTCTCTCTGTTTGCCTGAACCTATGTTCAGGTCTGCCCTCTCTCCCTGTAGTTCTTGGGGCAGTCTCTCTTGAGATGCCCCCTTGATCCACAGATATAACACTCTGATATGTTGTGTTGTGTTTCTCTTGGAAGACTACTCTTTTCTCGCTCTTATGCTCTGTGGAGGGGCCAGAGCGCCTCCTCTTGAGATTGTCTTCTGCTATGAGTTTGTTGGACAGCTTTTCCACGGATAGCAGGCCTAGGCTAATGGTATCTAAGTGTGATAAGAAGCTGTCCCATGAGTGATCTAAAGAGTTAATTATTACACTCTTCATGATCTGATCGGATATGACCTCCCCCCTAAGGTGGAGTTCTGCTCTGGTAGCGCTTAAGGACACTAGGTGCTCACTTATGGGGGCCCCTGGTTTTAGTCTGGCAGAGAAGAAGTCTTTGGAGATCTGGGTAGTGGTGGACACACTCTCACTGTAATACAACCCAAACATTTTCTGTATGATTTCAGATACTGTGAGATTATGACCAATGCAGTGATAGATCGTGGGAGATATGCTTGCAATTAAAAGGTAAAAAGCCCTATGGTGCGTACAGTCCAATTCCAAGGACCAAGGTTTCTCTGGGGGGTCATTAATAAAATGTGACATATTTTCTTTTAGGAACACTACCTGGAGCTGCTGTGACCACTCTAGGATATTGCCCCCATCCATCCTCAACTTAGGAAAGTCACTCGGTAAGTTCCCAGCATTATTTGTAAAGTTACTTACTGCTGGCTGCTGTCCATGGTTCCTTATGTGCCTATAACAGCAATACGGCATGGGAACGCTAGCCGGCATTTTAAAAGTCCCGCTTTGTGATTTTTTTCTCTTTTCTTCTTCTTCTAGGCGGAAGAGCGCATGCGCGAAGTCCATTTCTGCCCTGCCGTCGTCGAGGAAGGACCTGTTCATTGCGGCTCCGCGTAGAGGTCTTCATCGGCTGGGTAGGCCTCGACTTCGGTCTTGGGGTCCAGGTGCGCTCCGGATGGTGGCGGTCAGCAGCGGCTTCATCAGGGTGACGATCCTGGCGGTGCTGGGGGTCTCGGCGACGAAAGTAAGTAGCTGGCCCAGTCCCTGCGTTCTGGGGTGCGCGGTCCGGGCGATCGGCGGCGCGGTGTCCTTGGGGTGCGCAGGGGGTTTGGTGTGCTGGCGTGGGCATCGTCGACCCTCGGGTGGGCGTTCCGGTGCCCCTCTCCTCGCCTTCCCTTTCGTTTGGGCCCTTCCGGATCCCTTCTTGTGACTTTGAGGCCCGGGCCGAAGGCGGCGGCGAGGGTCCTCATGGCCTCGTCGACTTGCCGTTCGGTTGGGGGGTCCCCGCGGCCCGAATCGGACTCTGCCCCCCTCGCCCCAGTCGTTTTCATCATCGCTTGGGGTCGGATATTTTTCGCGCGCCGGCCATTTTGAATCCCGGCTTCTGATTGGGCGGGGGTCGGCCATTTTGCCCGACCACGTGGTCAAAGATGGCCGCCGTTTTGAATTTAGCGCGGGGCTGTGGGGCTCGGTGACCGTAGTGGGGTCGTTCTGGGGCGATCCACTCACCGAATTCGGTTCTTCGGGCTCCGGGTCTGAGTCTTCCTCGCTCCCCGCCACCTCGCGGTCTATTATGAAGCTTCGTAGGTCCGCGAGGAGATTCTTGTCATTGGCTCGCTCTTTTAGCAGCCTCAGGACGTCGATCCTCAGTTTTTCTTCCTCCTGATCACCGGGATTCGTTATTTCCCTTTTGTTGGTCTCCCTCCTTTCCTCCGTTGTGGTGGCTTTGGGATCAGTCTTGGTTTCTGCCTTCCTAGGCGATCCTGCTGGGTTGCTGTCCCTTTGCTTCGGTGGAGTTGCCATCTCGTAGGCAGTGATGTATCTTCGTTGTAGGTTCGGGGATTATTGGGCCATCCAACCATCCTCTGCTACCATATTGTTACAAGGATTCATGGATCAGGCCCAACAACGAGACATGAGTCAGTAGATTAACTAAATCTCTTTTATTCACAGGATCATCTCAACAACACTTGCAACATCTGGATCTGAAGAGCAAGGAGGAGCGTGCCCACCTTTTATGCCAGAAGGCGGAGACTTAGGTAAGGAGGGGTTAGTGGGAGGAGCTGGACAGGTGGGAGTTTGGATTAACCCCTGCACTGCTGCACTATAGCTGACCCCTGGCACAGTTAAGGCATTTACCCTTGACAAGAACTAAGATCCAGACGCGAAGGAGAGTGAATGAAGTTGTTCCCTGCAAATTGCCTCAGTCGTCGTCCTTCCTTAAATAGGCTAAGGGAGTGGCCAATTTGCCCCAAGCCTTACTCTTGAGGAGACCTCCTCCTGAGGAGCCATTCCTGCCTTTTGGCAGTTCTGGGCGCCCGTGCATCGAGAAGAGGCTCCTCCTCTTCTTCCTCTTCACTTATGGGAGCTTCCGGAGGTTCTGAAGGCCCTGGCTGAATCCCTGCCTCTGGCACCACATCTTCTCCAGCCTCCTCACTGTCTGACTCGAGCACCAGCTGCACAGGCTGCTGGTGCAGCACCACACCAGCCTCCTCGCTGTCTGAATCAGCTACTAGCTGCACAGGCCACTGACGGGCCACAACACTGGTTCACAAATGTGAGCGCACGGATGCAGAGAGCATCAAAAACAGGACGTGATGACCACCACTGGCCAGCACGCTATAACCCAGGGGTGTCAAACTCATGTTGTCACGGTGGTGTCACATGACTTATCACAACTTTTCCCCCCTTTGCTAAACCAGGTGTGGGTGTGGCCAGCATGTGATGCATCTGGGCCGCGGGATGTGAGTTTGATAACCCATCAACCACAACTGTATTCTTTGGCCCATTGTACACTTTATTGTTAATATCCTACAAGGAATTAATAACTTCTTGAGATCTGAGGACTTCCCTTCCCTAGATGTGTCTAAACCAGGGGCGTCAAACTCGATTTCATTGAGGGCCGCATCAGGGTTGTGTTTGACTTGGGGAGGCGGGGCAGGGGGGAGTGGCCAGCTTGACATCACTCGTGTTGGGGTGCCTGTGGCGGCCTGAGCGCTCTGCCAGTGAAAACGGGCTCCTGAGCTCCGTTTTCGGCTGCAGCGGCCTCCCGCAACCTTCTGTCAGCGAAAACGGAGCTCCTCCTGAGCTCCATTTCTGCTGGCAGAGCCACCGCGGGCCTGTTATCTTCTGTTTCCAGGGTGGCCCCGCAGGCCAGATCTAAGGACCTCGTAAGCCGGATGCAGCCCCCGGGCCTTAAATTTGACACCCCCGGTCTAAACAGAGGATCTATAGCTAAACGTCTGTCATGCTTTAATTTGGATTCCTCAATTGTGCTGGAGTTTAACTTGATCACCTAACTGTATCTTTCAAATCTCTGATTGCAATTATTTGTTTGTAATGTAGCAGGTGTATCCTCTACACTTCACTCAGGAGCTCAGCACACCTATTTACTGGGAATTAAAATCAATGGCTCATATACAGCCCCCCCACCCTCTCTCTTGCTTCGTCTACCTTCACCCTATTAGACATTAAAAAAATAATAATTCTAATTGAAGATAAGAAAAAGCTCTGAATAGTAAGAACAACCTGAGCGTGGAATCAGGTTGATTGGGTATGTTCAAGAGTTAGATGGCCAGCTAATAGGGATATTGAAAGTTGGATGGACTCAGGAGATTAAATGGCCTCTTTGAAGCCTATGATTCTGCCATCATCATCCTGGTAATGGATGTTGTTGTTTTAGAAGGAAGAGGAGGAAAAGAAGGAGGAGGAGGAGGAGGAGGAAAAGATGAAGAGGAGGAGGAGGAAGAAGAGGAGGAGGAGGAGGAAGAAGAAGAAGAAGAGGAGGAGGAGGAGGAGGAGGAGGAGGAGGAAGAGGAAGAGGAGGAAAAGAAGAAGAAGAAGAAGAAGAAGAAGAAGAAGAAGAAGAAGAAGAAGAAGAAGAAGAAGAAGAAGAAGAAGAAGAAGAAGGGGAGGAGGAAGAAGAAGAAGAAGAAGAAACTAATCAAGGAGAGAAGTCACCTAGAACTAAGAGAAATTTCCTGACAATGAGAACAATAAACCAGTGGAATGGTTTCCCTCCAGAAGTTGTTGGTGCTTCATCACTGGAGGCTTTTAAGAAGAGACAAGACAGCCACTTGTCTGAAATGGCAAGGAGGTTGGACTAGAAGACTTCCAAGGTCCCTTCCAGCTCTATTCTGATTGATGATGATGACGATAATTGCAGTTTTGATTCCTGGAAGGCACTACACGGGGCTCATAAGCATGAAGAATGGTCAAAAAGTCACTTTTTCAGTGCCGTTTTAACTTTGAATGGTTAGTAAATGAACTGTTTTAAGTCTAGGACTAACCTGTATAGAATAAAAGACAAGAGATCCACACGTATTCCCATTTTAGCTATTTCTTTCCCAAATAACTCCCTAAAAGAAATGTAAGAAAACCCAAAACACAATTTCTCTTTCATCACAGAATGGAATGGAATGGAATGGAATGGAATGGAATAGAATAGAATAGAATAGAATAGAATAGAATAGAATAGAATAGAATAGAATAGAATAGAATAGAATAGAATAGAATAGAATAGAATAGAATTGGAGTGGAACGCAACGGAACAGAACAGAACAGAACAGAACAGAACAGAACAGAACAGGAGAGAAAATGAAGAGAAGAGAAGAGAAGAGAGAGAAGAGAAGAGAAGAGAAGAGAAGAGAAGAGAAGAGAAGAGAAGATTAATAGAATAGAACATAACAGAACAGAACAGAATTCTTTATTGACCAAGTGTGATTGGACACACTAGGAATTTGTCTTTGGTGGATATGCTCTCAGTGTACATAAGGAAAATAAAATACATTCATCAAGAATAAAAAGATACAAGACTTAGTGATAGTCATAACTTACTAATAAACAATCAAATCATACTAGAAACAAACAGAACAATATAAATCGTAAAAATACAAGCAACACGGTGACAGTCATAAGTGGAAGGAGATAGGTAATAGAAAGGATGAGAAAAATAATAGTAATACAGTAAATAGTTTGACAGTGTTGTGGGAATTAGTTGTTTAGTAGAGTGATGGCATGTGGGAAAAAACTGTCCTTGTGTCTAGTTGTTCTGATCCCTGATATCCAAATACTCAGGAGATCTCTCCCTCCCTCCCTCCCTCTTTTTCTCTCTCTCTCCCTCTTTCTCTCTCTCTCTCTTTCTCTCTCTCTCCATATAACAAGTGAAAGAAGTACAATCCTATCCCAGGCTGAGAAAGAAGCAGTCTAATTTCTTGTGCCTCATAATTTTTCCCCATCACTTTCCCCTGTTTTTCGTTCCTTCCCTTTCAACCCGATCCGCAGCTGAAGGGAAAGGCCCCAGAGAAACAGACTGTACTCAGAAAAGTAAATTAAATTATTGTGTGATCCTCGGCTTCTCCTCTTTTGCGACATCTGGCTAGATCAGCCACGTACAACTACGATACACACGATGGAGCTTACTTGACAGGATGTGTCGGTTGAAGCTGGCTCCATTTGGTTCTGGAAGCTTCTTGGGAAGAAGCAAGAAAGCAATTTTCTTTTCTTTTTTCCCCCCTGCGATTACAAAAATGGAGCTCCAAATTCTGGTGAGGGATTTTATTTATTTATATTTATAATGCAATTTATATGCCGCCCTATCTCCAAGGACTCAGAGTGGCTCACAACGGTAAAGATGCACAGTTCCTCATTAAAAGACAATATAAAATTAAAAATTCCAATTTAAAACAATTTAAAATTCCTTAAGAAATTAAGATTTCTTAGATGAACGTCTGTGTGATGGTAGAATTTAGAATAACAGAGTTGGAAGGGACCTTGGAGGTCTTCTAGTCCAACCCCCTATACCATTTCAGACCCTATACCATTTCAGACAAATATTGTCCAATCTCTTCTTAAAAACTTCCAGTGTTGGAGAATTCA